TGACATGGCAATGATTAATTGGGGCACCTTCCACACAGAACTGAATGAACAAGAAAAATAGCTCGTTGTGTAAGTGTGTTTCTCTTTTCTGATTATAATTTTGCACCAAGACATAGAGGGGAACACTACCTCCCTTTTCAACATCACAGACATCCCGGGATTATTTGATCTCAGCACAGATAATCGCTGTCAGTAAAAGTCACAGTGAAGGGCAAGCACAACGAACTTGCCTCTTTGTCCTCTTGTTGCCTGAGGCAGTTAAACATCATGGAGGAGGGTAAACTACTGGTAATGGTGTAAAGAGCAGAAGAGTAGCCAAGAGGCTCTCATGGTCTTACTGTTAGGAAGAATAAAATAGCTGCTTCATTCAACAGATGTTGAAGGACAGTGTTGAGAGGTTGAAATATGGAGTTTGGCAGGCTTTTTTCTCTTTCCAAACTAACCTGCTTCTTTCAGATGCACCAAAAGATGATGATCTATCAACTATACTGAAGTGAAATTCAGCATCTAATCCAGTCAATGTTTGAACATGGAATATGGAAGAGAGCATCTTGTGCCTTCACCATAGCTTCCAAAGTATGTCTTCTTATTGGATCATCTGCTTGTTACCCATAGCAACTATCAAAATCAGTAGGTGGCAAAGTTAGCTGAATGCTTCCTACAGTTGTAGTTAATTGCCTTCAAGTTGACTTCAACGTATGGAGTCACTAAAAAATAGAAAGCCTTCAAGTCATCCTATCCTCAAATAGCCCTGCTCAAGTCTTAGTAGACTTGTGGCCATGGCTTCCTTGATTGAGTCCACCTACCAGTAACAATGCCTTCCTCTTTTCCCTTTGCTTTCTATCTGACTAAATATTATTGTCTTTCTAGAGAATTATGTCTTCTCATGATAGGGCCAAACTATGACAGCCTCAGTTTAGTCATCTTGGCTTTTAGGAATAATTTAAGCATGATCTGTTTTAAGAGCCATTTATTTGTTTTTTAGCAGTCCACGTAAAACTAGTCATCTTTGTTCATTGTCTAGCTTTCACAATCATACACAAAAATTGCAAATACTATGACATGGACCATATAATTAGGAATTCTAATATTAACTCTTCTAGGCACCTCTTCCTTCCTTCTTGTCTATGTCACCTGCTTCTGTTTCACCTACTTTGAAACAGAAGTCATTTTGGGGCATTCTATAAGAACAATTCTGACCCCAGGGAAAGAGATCCTGAGACCCACGTGTGGCCCACAAGTTGTACTTTGTCCACCCCTGATTTCAACTGATCCCAAGTGGGATTTCAGTCTAATTTGGAATCTGGAATGACTTATAATAGGTAACTCTAGTACTGTGAGGTATCTTGAGTCCCAATTCTGGGGAATGACAGAATTCAAACAAAGTATATTAATGATAACAACATCATCAACTATCCTTTCACTTCTCCTTCAGATCAGTGGTGAACTTTCCAAATGGAATCATGCACTCAGTGATTATAATAGCAGCATTTGGAGTGGGGAGTGGGAGGAAAGAAAGAAAGAAAGGTCTCCCTCCTCTGCTTTGCTTCCACTGCAACATTCTCCCCAGCAGCTAGGTAAGTGGGTAGACAGGATGGAGGTCCTCCCTAGTTCAGAATAACAATGCAAGTGGGAAAAATTGATAGGCGTGACAGCTTATTCATAATACAGTGAATCCTCTGCATTTGCTGAAGTTAGGTGCATAGGACTCCTACTAAAATGGAAAAACACAAATAAAAACTTATCCTACGATAATACCTCTCTAGGAAAATTATCTTGCGATAATACCTCTCTAGGAAACTTTGCCATAAGTTGATCATAGAGCTGCATTGGAGGTCAAGAGCACTACTTCTTAAACTTGGGTCCCAGCTCAATGTTAACTCAGTGTTGGGGTGCCAGAACTTTGGCAATGGTAAAAGTTTTCTGAATGTCACAGTGGCTGTTTTTAGACAGATGCACAAATTTGTGGATCTGTCTAAAATGCTGTAGAAAATGCTTCAGCTGTACTTCATAAAAATGAAAAGACAATTTAAAAAGGGAGGCTCAATGTTTACGTAGGTCTGAGAGAATCCGACAACTGAAACCAAAGATTAGAGTTAGCTGGAATCAGTTTTTGGGATTTAAGAGTGCCCGCAAGGGGGATTTCCTCAGACAAAGCATCGTTTAGTATCAAGGACAAACCTCCTGGGTTTTCCAGTTTCCAGTGGTCTGGTCTCTAAGGGAATTTCTGGCTTCAAGTGAGATTAGCAGGGAGCTAATCTGTTCATGGATTTCTATTGAGAGTTTTCTGTACATTACTGCTTTGGATTTTCTGCAAGCTTTCTGGACACTGCTGTTTGCTGGTTCATTTTGGCTTTTTTACCTTTCGACTTCAATCTATTTTATATTCATCATTCAATAAAAAGATTGTATTTTTCCTAGACCAAGGGGTGGTGTATTAATGACAAGAAGGCCCTGTTTCCTGGTAAGGAGTGCAACAGTTGCAAATGGAAAAGTTTAAGAAGCCCTGGCCTAGAGAGTCCTAGGGCTCTTCCACACAGTCCTATATCTCAGAATATCATGGCAGAAAAATCTTACAATATCTTCTTCGAACTGGGTTATCTGCATCCACACTAAGATAATGTGGTATTTCCTTCCTTGATATTCTGGGATATAGGGGTGTATGGAAGGGCCCCTAGATAGAACTTATTAATCAAATCTGTGAATAATCACATCCACCAATGTCAAACCCACAAATGTGGAGGACTGACTGTACTGGCATTTTTGGTAACTGTGTGTCAATGGTAATACTATCAGCCATGGGATATTTTACTCCCACAGAGAGGTTGCCGTCTGTAACCTCAGATCACATGCTCATGCCCAGATTTACAAACCCTCTGTTTTCTTGGATTTGGGAGGGAGGGGGTTATGGAAAATAAAGCCTAACCTATGGCTGCAGGCTAGAAACCAGAGTAAAGGTGTCACACAGGGCAAGCTTAGGCAGCTGCTGCGTGGCTTACCCTTCTACAGTATCCCTTTGACTTTGTTTCTGGACAGAGATCTGTGAAGTTTTATTTTTAAGACAAATGTTTTCAGTGTCATAGCCAGAAGATTGAACCTATATCCTAAGAACAACATTTTGAAAAGGGAGAAAAAATAGTCTTTGTGCTGGAAAAGTTCATCAGTTCCTATAAAGATGGGCTTCAAGTTCAGTGTAATCCCAGTTTCCCAGCAGGGTGATCCAGCAATAACAAACCCATGCAAAAAAGCCCGGGCATCTTATAACACCCCACTTCCTTTCGGTGCTGGAAGTAGCAGAGAGCCGCAGGGCCAGCGTGCTGTGCCTGCTCTTGTGCAAACCAAAACAAAGCTGGGAGAGTAATTTGAAGCCCATCAGCTTTGGACAGTGTCTCTTTCTTTCCTCCCAGGTCATGTGCCACAGAGCTACAGCATATCTCTGAACAGACACAAATTAACCTCCTTCCTCCCTTCAATGTCCTGGTGCAGCATAAGTGCCTCGCAGCTGGAAGACAATCTACAAAGCAGCAGGCAGCTTTATATATCATATATTACTCTGGTTGGTGTCAATCACGACAACACGTATTCAGACTAAAGGAAGACTTACAATGACAGATATACGTCCCAGTGAAATCCTGCAGACAATAAGGTGGCATCAAGTAACTTAAATGAGATGTAGAGCTCGGGAAAGTAACATTTTTGGTTGGGGGCTCTGAGGATCATCATCTAAAATGTAACTTTCCCAAACTCTTCATAGAATCACAGCCACCTTGCTGAATGACTGGGAAAATAAAAACTGGCTTACTTAGGTCACTTCTTTTGGCAGAACAATTTTTAAAAATGTGTAAAAATGTTGGTGGAAATATGGGAAAGGAAACACAAGTAAGGAATCATCCCTTCTTCTGATTCTCTTTAAAATGAGATAAATCAATTCCCCCATAAGGATATGTGAGTACACCTCCTGTATGGCGAAAATAATGCTGTCCTGACATTGTCATTATTATGGTAAAAATTCACATATAAGAGGGATCTAGTTCAATGGGAATAGTAGGACCACTATTCTGCTTTGGTCACCTGGAATACTGTGGATAGTAAGGTTATTAACAATATGAGACATATCCCGAGAAGGGTGACCAAGATAATCAAAGCTCTAGAAACCAAGCCTAATGAGGTTATGCTTAGCTTAGAGAATATTGAGTCATGATAGCTCTCTTTAAATCTATGAAAGGCTGTAATGTAGAAAAATGGAGCCCCCAGTGCACAGTGGGTTAAACTAGTGAGCTGTTGAACTTGCTGACTGAAAGGTCGACGGTTCAAATCTGGGGAGTGGGGTGAGCTCCTGCTGTTAACCCCTGCTTCTGCCAACCTAGCAGTTTGAAAACATGCAAATGTGAGGTACTGCTCCAGTGGGAAGGTAACGGCGCTCCGTGCAGTCATGTAGGCCACATGACCTTGGAGGTGTCTATGGACAGCACTGGCTCTTCGACCTGGAAATGGAGATGAGCACCACCCTTCAGAGTTGGACAGGACTAGACTCAATGTCAAGGGGAAACCTTTACCCTTACTTAATATAGAAAATGGGACAAGCTTGTTTTATGCTGCTTCATAGCAGAACATAAACCCATGGATTTAAATGGCAAGAAAATAGGTTTTGCTTTTACTTGCAGAACAGCTTGATAGAGGAATGAATTGCCTTGAAAGATGATGGACTCTCAATTGATGGACTCTTTAAACAAAGGCTGAATAGTCATCTTTCAAGAGTGCCTTAGTTGTCTATGCCTGCATGGCAGAGGGCTGGACTAGAAGGCCCTTGTGGTCTCTTCCAATTTTAAAACTCTATTGTTCTAGTTGGGCCTTCCATATCTTGGTGTTATTAATGTACTTTTTTCAACTTACAAAGCACTTTCTGTTGATTTTTTAAAATTTTATTTATTATCCTAAAACATAACCCACGTGTCTCAACCGACTGCAATAGTACTGAAATGTAATCAGTCTTCACCTACCACATTGCTGCATGTTCTGTATCTAATATTTCGTCCTTCACAGCTCCTGTATCCACAAAAAGAAAAGAAAAGCATGTTACATATTATTCCGAGTAATTCACTACTTGCTCAAAGACTCAAAAAGCTCAAAACAAAGCATGATTTCCTCAATTTATGTTTTACTAGTTGCTCAAACCAGATACAAGACCATTCAAACAGTTGAAAGCCATTAGATATACTTCCTTTGTGATATATTTTACTTCCCAGTGTAATAAAATAGATGAAACAAGCCCCATAATTTGTCTGACAATGTCATCACCTCTCTGAAATTCCACTTGAAAATTGTTCACTCTCAAAGGTCTTCAAATATTGTATCACCTTTGCACAATGATGATAGTACATGCTTTATGTGATTGTGGCACTTCAGGGACTCAAAATTTATCAGTGATTGAACAAGAGTACTGAAAGAACAAACACTCAGAAGTGTGTTAAATATCTAGGTATATTGACCTAAAGAAGTGTTATCTATAAGCCTACATTGTGATTAAAAAAAAACCACATACCAATTCTCAAAGTTATCAAATTAGTTAAAAAGATAGATAGAAAGATAGATAGACAGATGTTGTTGAAGGCTTTCATGGCCAGAATCACTGGGTTGCTGTGGGTTTTCTGAGCTGTATGGCCATGTTCCAGAAGCATTATCTCCTGACATTTTGCCCACATCTATGGAAGGCATCCTCAGAGGTTGTGAGGTTTGTTGGAAACTAGGCAAGTGAGGTTTATATATCTGTAGAATGTCCAGGGTGGGAGAAAGAACTCTGGTGTAAGTGTAAATGTTGCAATTGGCCACCTTAATTAGTATTTAATGGCCTCGCAGCTTCAAAGCCTGACTGATTGCTGCCTGGGGGATCCTTTGTTGGGAGCTGGACAAAAAACACATGGACAATTTAAACAGGAAGGAGGAAACCATGACAATGAACAAAATCTGCCTTACCAGTATTTTAAAAACCCTCTAATATCAGGACTGTATATAAAGAGCAACACTAAAAAAACCCCCAAAAAAACAAAAACAAACACTTAGCAAATTCCAGAGAATCAATCAGGGGCAGCTAACACCTCCCAGCAAAGGCTCCTCCAGGCAGCAACCAGCCAGGCTTTGAAACTGCAAGGCCATTAAATGCTAATCAAGGTGTCCAATTGCAACATTCACACTTCCCTCAAACAGATAAGAGTTCTTTCTCCCAGCCTGGACATTCTACACATATATAAACCTCACTTGCCTAGCTTCCAACAGACCTGACTTCTGAGGATGCCTGCTATAGATGTGGTAGAAACGTCAGGAGAGAATGCTTCTGAAACATGGCCATACAGCCAGGAAAACGCACAGCAACCCAATCATAGATGTCTGTGTATGTGTGGTTGTGTGAATGTAATCTCTCTGTGTCTTTCATCATTAGCAACTGAAGAAGTTGGAAGTAATTTTGCTTATATTTTTCAATTGCTTGTTAATCACCTCTCTCTTGCATGTGCATACATATTTTGGATGGCAACCTGTTGGCCAATCCTAGCTAAAGTCAATCCATTTAATTAACTTTTGAATGATGACTCACCAGGTAGATAAAGCCAATGGATCCGATGGGTTTACTCCAATCAGAACTAAATAATAAGTATATAACTAATAATAATATATACACACATATTTAAACCTATATGTGTGTATATATATGAACACATAGGAGAGTGAAAGCACAATTGAGAGAGAAGGAGAAAGAGCGAGCAAGCATGGGTTACATGCAATCAGCAATAAAGCCCGAAGACAATGGAAGGCAAGACCGAGGAGAGATGTTTAAAGAGCCACCCCCTTTTCGCTCTTTCAGGCACCTTCTTTTTGCTCTTTTTTCTACTTCCTCTACATCCATCAGGCTGCTAGAATTCTGAACCGACTGCATGAGGATGGCTTTTGAAACTAGGCCAAAGCCTCCATGCAGCCCTAGGGATGCAGGTCATCTCCCCTGCTTTAGATCTTCATTCGGAAAGAGAATTTGATTAGCATCTCTGAAAGATGAGCATGGGAGCTAAAATTCATAACCCTGCTGGATAGCCAAAAGATGTGGCTGAACAGAAATATTTGCTTTATAGCCTAACATAATAGCCTCTAGTTTCTTTCTCAGGTTTCTTTTTGATTCAGCTGTCTCCCACTGATCATTTTCCTTGAACAAACGACAGCTTTTGCATACCAATGTAGCTGATTGCAAAGCAATCTCATGCTAATAGAAGGTAACAATGCTTGAAGAACCCGTCCCTTCCAAATTCGGATAGAAACTGGACCACATCTCACAGACTAATGCGCAGGCTGGAACATTCGGAGTCATAAAATTTCACAATGAACCTCTGACGTAAAAAGTTGCATTGAATAGACCACCTCAGCTCTCATTTCTGATACAGAACATATGCCATAGTCAGCAACAGGGAAGGAGTGGCAGGTGGCGTGAAAGGAGTGGAAATAAAATAAAGAGGAAGGAGGTTCGCGGACCAGATTTTCGTCCTTGCGGTCCATGGCCCATAGGTTAAGAACCACTGCTATAGAGGTGTTTTATGATTAGGATAGAAAATGTTTAAATGTAATGGTAATAAATGAATGAAGTAAATTACAGATAGTATGTAAACACAGGAATGCTGTGATCACTAAAAGCCAACATAGGTTGTTTTTTTTAATTCTCCTCCTTCTCTCTGCCAAACAATAATTTCAGTTCCAGTCTTGTCTTTTTATTGCCTCCCCTTCTTCCTTTCCTAACTATGAGGCAGAGAGGCAGCTTTCCTAGCATTGTCAAGAGGTGGCACATCTGACTCTCCATGCCTGCCAGGCAGTGCCTCCCCCATTGCTTCCTTCTCTGGTGAAAAACATGCACCTACATGGGAGAAGGGGAGGCAAACAAAGTGGAAACTGCTATTCACTCTCTTACTCTTTTAATATCTGGGTTTACTGTCCTGTCAAGTAGGAATCTCAATGAGTGGAGTGTGGCACAAACCATACTTCTCAGGAGAAAGCAAAATCTCAGTGTGCTGACCAAGCCAAGGGAATAGGAATGAGACCATGTATGTCAAGTAAAAAGGTAAACACAACAAATAAACCTCTCTCACTAAATATTCGATTTGAACATCCACAGGTTTTTTGTATCCATGAGGAGGTCCTGGAACCAATCCCCCTTCCCCAGATACCACGGGAAAACTGTATATACTCAACTAACAAGGGAATCATAGGAAAAATTAAATTGCTTACTCAACTAAATGAGCAATTTAAAATTGCTTTGCTTCAAAACATGATTTAAAGGGCATTGTAATAATATATGCACTTTGTAAATAAAATAAATGTGCTCCTTGGCAGATCAATGGCAAGCAGCAGAACCACTAGAGAGTATATTTTCTAAGTAGATCAAATCAAGAAAGACAGTTCAGAAGAAAATTCAATAATCCACCAATAACTGGGTACAATTGAGTGACATGTGGCAAGGTTTTCCTATACCAAAAACAAAAGAATCATAAGTAAAGTATTGCTCAGATAAAGAAGTTAACATGAAAAGCAAACTGCACAAGAAGTTGAAAGTCTGGGATGTTAAAAGAGGGAGTTCAAATCAAGATGAAAATCAACAGCCATTCAAACCTTGCCTACAGCTCTTTCACAGCTCTGCTATTAACTGTTTCTGCAAAGAACTAAAGATATGAGGGAAGAAGAACTATGAGAAATGACTGAAGGAGTTGGGTATGTTTGCCTTGAGAGGGGGGTATGACAGCAATCTTTACATTTCTGAAGTGATGTCTTGTAGAAGATGGAGCCAGCTTATTTTCTGCTGCTCCAGAGACTAGAACATGAATAAATATATTCAAATGGCAAGAGCAGAGATTCTACCTGAACTTTAGGAAGAACTTTTTTGCAGTAAGAGATGTTCTGCATTGAAAAGGACTCAGAGTGGTGGGTTCTCAATCTTTATAGTTCTTTAAGCAGAGTTTGGATGGACATCTTTTGAGGTTGCTATAACTGTATTTCTGCATGGAAGGTAAGTTGGATTAGATGGTCCTTGTGGTCCCTTCCAATTCTACATTTCTATAACTGTCTATAAATCTTCATTGAATTAACTGAACCCCTCTCTATAAACATTGTACATTACAGCTCTCAAGAAACAAACCCCAGCTCCACAACACCTTTGTGTTTTCCTTGTACAGTCATGGTAGACACACACTGTCTTCCTATTTCCTATTTATTTTTTGAATCTGAACCTTTGGCTCAGTGAGAATCACTTTTGGATTGGCCAGATCTTACCTAGACTACTATGTCCAGTTCTGTTCACAATGCTTCAGAAAAAGTATTGACAAGCTGGAAGGTGTCCAGGGAAGTGTCACTAAAATGATCAAAGGTCTGAAAGCCAAGCTCTATGGGGGGGAAGCAGCTTAGGGAACTGGGTATGTTGTGTTTGGAGAAAAGAAAGTTAAGACAGGACATGATAGCCATATTTATATATTTGAAAGGAAGTCATCTTGAAGATGGAGCACACTTGTATTCTGATGCCTTAGAAACTAAATCGTGAGGCAATGGATTCCAACTACAGGAAAACAGATCCCACCTAAATATTAGAAATAACTTCCTTATGGTAAGAACTGTTCAACAGTAGAATACACTACCTTGGAATGCAGTGGGGGTTCTTTATTTGAAGGTTTTTAAACAGATATATGGCCATTTGTAAGGAATGCTTTGATTATATTTTCCTGCATGGCAGGAGGTTGGACTGGATGGCCCTTGGGGTCTCTTCCAACTCTTATTTTTCTATGATTATATGAGCTCCAGAGAAGAATGGTGCCAAATTGCTTCAGGATTCAGTCAAACTTGTTGCAAAGCCCTAGTTTCTATCCATATTGACTTCTTTGTTGATTCACACATAACACTCAGCACCTGATAATGCAATAGATGATTGATGACTATGCAGATAGAAGTAGGCCCTTCATGTCAACCATTTCAAGCACTAGGAGAGTATAAACTGCAACAGGTGGTGTTTCTCCAGAGACATTACTTCA